TTGACCATATTACACATGTTTGAATGGCTAACGCATTCATTCTTTCTCATCCGTAGTGCACCGAGATCAAGAAAGCAGCTGATGAGAGCCAGTCTATTCTAGAGAAGACACCGGTTGGAACTGGCAATGATGATGGTTCACTACGAGCATTCCTCAAGGTACATATCGCATTCACTATGAGAGCCAGTCTATGTTGCGAAGTTTGATATCTTATACACTTGTTCATGTTACAGCGTCAGGCCAAGAAGTTAAGGCGGTTATCGAACCTTCTCGGTTGCCGTGATCCTGAATATGATGAACCATCTGCCTCTAGGTCTGGTACACCATCATACCCCGCATCTCACCATGAGGGGGACGATGTGAGTTCCTCATATGCTTATATTGGTGAGGAACTCACATCGTCCTCATGAGGGGGACGATGTGAGTTCCTCACCAATAGTTAGGCGCTGCACTGTACTGTGTGGCGCCCAACAGTTAGGCGCTGCACTGTCTAGAGATTCGGCAACCGTCTCCTTGTATGCAACCCAACGTTGCTCGGAGTTCACACGCATTGTCTTCCAACAGATGTGCATTCCAAAACCAACATTATGCCTTCCCTCGAACTCAACAACGTCACTTGGGTCCATCCAATTCAAATCTTTCCTCACTTGTTCCAAAAGCTCCCCATAGCTAGGACTACTATCAAACACCATGTCAAGCTCATCTGGGTCCGTCTCAACATTGCCTTTCAAAAAGGCCTCTTTATCCACATGATGAACATAAACACATGTTCTCCCCATCCCTACAATAATCAAAAACACACATATATCAAGTAAATACTTAAGAAAAATATTTGCACACATATGCCCTAACATATATATGAATCAATAACCCTAACCCCCACATAACAACCATAACCATAGCATAACCCTAACACCAACATCAAACACACATAACCCTAACACCAACATCAAACACACATAACCCTAACCCTAGCATACTATGGAAGCCTAACCAACCCAAGTTAGCAAAGAAACATAACATCATTCAACACAAAATTGCAAATCCAAGTCAAAACTAGGGTTTTCCCAAAGTAGCAAGATTTGAGAAAATGTGACAATTCCTATGAATGAAAACGAGGGGATCGAAGGAGATTACCTTAAGGGAGGGGTTGGCTTCGAAATCCACGGTCAAATACTCCGGATTTGCAAGATTTGAGAAGGATTTGAGAGGGGGGAGAGGGGAAGAGAGGAGGGCCGCAAGTCTAAGGGTTTGGGTGGGGTGGGGATGTGTGGGGTGGGGGTGGGAGGGGAGAGAGGGTGGGGCCAGCCCAAGTGGAACACAGACTGTGCAGCGCCCAAGAGCTAGGCGCTGCACATTACAGGTGTGGCGCCTAAGTCTTAGGCGCTGCAGTGCTGTCTGTGGGGCCGCAACTGGACTAGGACTGCCACGCTGGCAGGATGTGTGACGCCTAAGGGAAGGGCGCTGCACAGTAGGGTGCGGCGCCCAGCTGTCAGGCGCCACACCAAAGGGTCAGCAGAGTGAAATTTTTTCGTGACCAGGTCAGTTTGTGATTTGATTTCTGCCTCAGGTCAAATATGTCATTTCTCCCTACTTGCTGTATGTGCTAGTAAAGGCCATGAGGGGTAAGGATCTAGCTCGTACTATTGCACATTAATTTTTACTAGATTTTTCCCGTTAGGTGGGCTATTTGCGTTTAAATAAAAGCAAAAAGAAATGGGCGACCGCAGGGACTCGATCCCAGCTAGTCCGTGGAAGATGTGTCGGACAAACACAAACATTGTTTTTCAAAATTTTGAGCATTGAAACCACAAACTTTTTCCAAATTACAAACATTTTTTGAATACATGTTTTTATTTTGTAGGGCATAACTATTTTTTGTTGTTTATTTTTTGGTTCTTCTTCTCTTTTTCGTTAATTCATTTTTCTCCTTCTTGAACTTTATTCTTCTTTTTGGAACCTGTTCAAACATTTGAAATTTTGTTTAGAATACCGGATCCTTTTTTCAAAATATGGTTTACAATTAGAAAATATGCTATGGAATTTCACAACATGTGCCGTTTTGAAATTTTAGTTCAAATTTTTTGGAAATGTTTGCATTTAATAAAAAAATGATGAATTTTTAAAAAAATTACATGGTTTACAATTTTCATCAATTGTTGGAATTTTGTTACAATTTTGGAAAAAGTGTTCAAGTTTGTAATTTTTTCATATACAATTTTAAATTTCAAAATTGTCGAGAAATTTCAATAAAATGTTAGGACATAAGAAAACCTTCATATTGATTGATAATGAGAAAATTGCAATTAACAGAAGCAATCAATTAGGAAAACAACATGCTCAGGGAGGCCTTGTGTGGCACACTCTTTTCAAATGGTGTTTTTTTTGGATTATGGATAAATGCCCCCAACTTCTTGAAGTAGCCTACCACAAACATATGAGCCATTCATGTCAGGTATTAATAAGTTCCGACGTGTTTACATGTTGCGACACTTTTGGCCATTTATCAGCCCTTGTCACCAAGAAAACTCTAGAAAATGCAAAACTTATAAAAAATGAACCCGAACACCCTTCATTGAACATCTTCTGTTTTTGGACATCTTAGAATGACCCAACTTTTGCAAGATGGTGGGATGCCCACGGTAGGAACGCATGAAGGTTGAACGACTTTCATCACTGTATGCAAGTTGCAACACATCCAGCCATTTATCGGTCTTTTCTATCTGAGGAAACTCCGAAGAATGCAAAATTTGTCAAAAACCAAAACAACTTGACATGATGCCTTGAATTGGTCATACAAGGACATGAAAAAAATCGAGTTCCCTTCAAGGATGTCGAGAAATAAGCATGCTCTCACAAAGAATCTTCTGGGCCTACCCAACCACCCTCTGTTGAACATGGTCTTGTTTTGGACATTCTTCAAAAGTTCCTAAATTTTGCCAGCAGGTGTTACGCCCCATGGTAGGTACCTATGCCATGTTTGAACGAATTCTGACACCGTTTGTAAGTTGTGTCACGTTCCGCCATCTATCCGCGAATTTTCATCGAAAAAACCCCATAAAATGCAAGAACTATAGAAAACTCAAACAACTTGACATGGTAAGTTGAATTGGTCATATAATCTCGTGGAGAAAATGTTTTTCAAATCATTTAATAAATATTTGAAGGAAAAAGGAATTTAAAAGCAATTTAAAATAGTTAACTAAAAGTGCTATTTTGGTATTCCAAACAATATTTTTTTAAGATTCCAAAAATAATAATGAAGTTCCAAAAAAATTAACGGAGAAAAGAGAAGGAAAACAAAAAAAGTAGAAAAATTAGAGAATGAGAGAAGAACAAAGAAAAAAAATGTAGAAATGCAGCAAAAAAAATCAGATTGCCGCTGTTTCGTATAAGGCGAGGGGCCGAGAGACGTGTTTGGGCCGGTCATTTCTGCAGATAGCGTAGGAACTACTCCCTCCGTTCCGATTTACTCTATCGTGGTTTTAGTTCAAATTGAGGGAGTACCCTTCTAATTGTTCACACTATTGAAACTGTTTGGGCCGGCCAACTGTTCACACTATGAAAAAATGTCCTGTTTTCATATTTTCTCAAAACTAATACTTTTTGGGAATTTCAAAAACTGGTCGCTCTTTTGAAAAAAATCAATATTTCGAAAATGTTCCTTTTAACAGGTTTTGTTCTCTAAATTCCATTTTTTTTGAATTTTTCAGAAAATGTTCAGGGTCTAAAAAAATATGTCAAAAAAGGCACCTTTTTAATTTTTTTTTGAGTTTTGAAAGTTTATTAGAGTCGTTCAAACAACTGTCGTATTTTCAGACATTACTTGCGTTGTGAAGATTTTTCACAATTTCCAAGAAAAGAGAAAGAGATCCAAAAACTGCCCAGAATCTGTATAGTAGTTCTATAACGGGCGCGCTCTGTTTTTGTCATCAAAGCTTCTAAGGTGTACTGGTTTGCTACAATCCTTTGTGGGCTAGAGGTGCAGAGTTTGAATCATTGTGTGGTCGCTTTTTATTCCCCTTCATGGGCCGGCCCAGTCCGGGGTACGTAGGGCATCATACATACAAAGTAGGAATACCATGTTTCTCTCTCAAAAAAAGTAGGAATACCATGTTTCTCTCTCAAAAAAAAGTAGGAATACCAAGTGAAAAGTCTATACTGCCCCTTTATACGTTTTATGGGGGTTGTACCGAAGCGGGACTCGTAGCAATATTCTTCTGCATGCCGGCACCGCCGTGGATCGTTTCCGCTCCACTCCCCTGCTACACCAACCATGACTAGCTTCTGTATAAGCTTACTAGTACTACCAAACGCTAGCTAAACCAATGCAAAGGAAGGAGTGCAGACCCAGACGAGATCAGGGGATGGCGGCGCCGCCGCGCTCTGTGGCGGTGGCCATCTCCGTCGCGGAGGCTGACCGAGCACGGCTGCACCAGCTGGGGTACAAGCGCGGGCTCAGCGTGGTGTCCAACTTCGCCTTCTCCTTCTCCCTCATCTCCGTGCTCACCGGCGTCACCTCCACGTACAACACCGGGCAGCGCTACGGCGGGCCGGCGTCCATGACGCTCGGGTGGCTGGTGGTGGCGTGGCGTCGTTCAACGGCTGCGTCGCCCTGTCCATGGCGGAGATCTGCTCGCCGTACCCGACCTCCGGCGGCCTCTACTACTGGAGCACCAAGCTCGCCGGCAGGGAGTGGGCGTCCGTCGCCTCCTGGGTCACCGGCCGGTTCAACATCGTCGGACAGGTACACCTCCAACTTCGTAGGACACGATTTCTGGCTCTCTGATGATGCAGACATGCAGTGAACTCCTTTTTTTTCTTCCAATTTTTCATTTTGGGCCTGTTGCTGACATGGGCATCTACGACGAGCGTGGACTTCTCGCTGGCGCAGCTTGTATAGGTGATCATCCTGCTCGGCACCGGCGGAGCCAGCGGCCGCGGCTGCAGGGCCTCCAAGTACGTCGTCCTGGCCATCTACGTCTTCATCTTGGTCCTGCATGGGCTCATCAACAGCCTCCCCATTCACTGGCTTTGCTGGTTTGACCAGTTCGGTGCTTTCTGGAATGCCGCAGGTACTGCCATTTTGTTCTAACTGTCCATGATCAAAATCTGTTGTGTCTGTAATATGTATCTCATATTAAGAGCGATACTTGCAAGTTGAGGTTTTGATAACATGTCTTTTGTGGAACCTCGAAATGCTATGATATAATAAACTACAAATTTCATCAACTTTATTGCTGTCCTTTAACCTGGCATGTCTGAACTCTGGAAACTGTCTGAACTTCGAAACAATGCTAGTTGTGTTCATGCTGGCGATATTGATTCCGGCAGTTGCCAATGAAAGGGCAAGTGTTGAGTTCATCTTTACACACTTCAACAAGGGTTTATCGAAAAAACACTTCAACAAGGACAATGCATGGCAATATGGCATGGGTGTCCATGGCAAGGCTTACATTCTGGCGGTGGGGTTGTTGATGAGCCAATACTCTGTCATCGACTACGATCGATACGTCTGCTCACATGGTAACTAGATAAATTCTCTTGTTCCAAACCCGACTTCTCCTTTACTAGTTCAGTTACACATGTGACAATCTGATGGGTGTCCTTGAATTTGTAGACCGAAGAAACGAAGAACGCGGACAGGAGCGGCCCGATCGGGATCATAACTTCGGTGTCTCTCGCAATGGTCATTGGGTGGGTTTACCTGGTGGTGCTGACATCGATCATGACGGACACCCCGTACTTGTTGAGTGCCGACAATGACGCCGGTGGCTACGCCATTGCTCAAGCCTTGTACAACACCTTCTACCGGAGATATGGCAGCACCGTCGGGGGCCTCGCTTGCCTGGGCGACTTTGCCGTCGCCATGTTCCTCTGTGGAGTCGCCTGCGTCACAAGCAACTCAAGGATGGGGTACGCCTTCTCCTGTTACGGGCCGATGTCGTACTCGCACGTGTGTCATCGGGCACGAGGTGCCTATGAACATCGTTTGGCTCTCCATCGTCGTGGCGTCCACCATGGCCCTCACGGTATGTATGTGCATATATTGATCGACCATGCCATGATCCCACGAACGCGGTGCATCATAGTTCTATCATTTGTTGCTTCTTTGCATTGTGTTGTTTGGAATGTCTGCAGTCGCTGGGGAGTCAAGTGGCATTCCAGACGATGTTGTCCATCGCGGCGCTGGGGTTGTATATCTCCTACGCACTGCCCATCTTCTTCCGGGTGACCACGGCCCGAAGATCATTCATCCCGGGGCCGTTTCATCTTGGCAGGTACGGAGTCATTATATGCTGGGCAGCCGTGTTATGGGTGGCCTTCGTCACCGTGCTCTTCTCGCTGCCGGTTGCGTACCCGGTCGCAAAGGAGGACTTCAACTACACGCTGGTGGCTGTTGGCGGCGTGCTGCTGCGCACCGTTGGCTCATGGGTGTTCCATGCTCGGTTCTGGTTCAAAGGACCCATTATAAATGTTGACACGTACTAGAATTTTGTTTCTTGTAAGATTGATTGGTCGTGAAGCTGGATTATTGACTAGGAGTATTGTCTAAGAAGATGATGTTCATGTGTGCGACAAGGTCATCGTTATGCACATGACCTGAGGTTCGATGACGATTCTAGTGTCCACCCCTTGTAATTGCATGAATCTCAATATACAGTTATATGCACTACTAGAAAAGTACTCATAGTTGACCGGCCATCACACAGGGAAGAGAAGAACTATCTATTGTAGTATTCTCTCTGTTTTAAAAGAGTTAAATACACCTATAGTACATAAACTTGCGTGGTGGGTACAAAATCATACATAAAGTTGAAAAATGATGCAAATGGGTCACTGAACTATAATTCCGGGTACATGTTGCTACATCTTCTGTTAAATCTAACGGTAATTGCAAGGCTTGCCGTTAACTCGCAGGCCAGCATGGTAGTGGGTATATGTATACGCTGGGTCCACTTGTTAGATGACTAGAGAAGGAGAAGCAAATATGTAGACGTAGGATTTGACGTTCGGACGTGAGATGTTTCAAGCACAGGGTTAAGGGCATTTTCAACGCTGACGCAAACCTCCCGCAACGATCCAAATCACAGAAGCCATCCAACATTGGTCTGTATCGGTCCACGGCACGGTTGAGACTTGATTTCTTCCGCAAACCGAAGATAAAATTGAGGGAGGTTTGCGGGAGTCCAGACCGATGCCAAGCCCGTTTCTGACCGCCCTGACCCATTAAAAACCCTTCCCCTTCCCGCGCGTTTTCGGTCAGCGCCGCTCTAAAGCGTCAGCACCCGCGTACATGCCCGGTCAGAACGGATGCGACTGCTCACTGGCGCCGACATTGAAGCAGCGCGTCGGCCGAGAGAGCGCCACCCGCGTCGCTTCCCAGTGCAGGTGATTGCCACGCGTTCAAACGACACGACGGCCGCCCGCCCGTCCGTCTGCCGCCTGCATTGATGGCACGCGGTTGCCGAGGTGTCTTCTCCGACGCTACCCGTCCATCCCTCTGCAGCCCACCGGTGCTATATAAAACCGCTGCCCCGGCCATATCCACAGTCATCCCTCTCCACACCACTCCCGGCCATGGATCCCTCTGCGGCCAAAGCTCTCTGAGACGGGCTTACGTCGGAGCAGAAGAAGGCCATGCCCGCCATTGCTGCCGATTGGCTGGCCGGCAGGCAGCCGGAGGATGTGCAAATGGAGGACACCTCTGACAACGAGCCAACGCCACCCTCCTCTTCCTCCGCGCCACCCTCCTCTTCCGCTCCACCCTCGCCAGTGCGTTGCACCATGACTATCGGCGAGGCCTATGCCCATTATATGGACATGGTGCGGCAGGAGCGGTCCCGGGAGGCGCAGGCCGAGGCCAACTACAACCACAACCTCTTTCAGGAGCATCTGCACGCGGAGGAGCAGGTCGCTGCCGGCAGGACGGTCGTACCGGACGTGGACTTGGTGAAGCAGGAGGCACTGCTCGAGTCTTATACGAAGAAGGATACCTGGTCGATCTTTTTTGCAATTGAATGAACTCAATATCTCACGTACAAGCATGTGGTTTCTCAATCAGGCTAGTGGACTGATATTGCAGCTCGACAGGTTAAAGCTAGCTAGCTTTGTACACCGGTGAGATCGTATTGCCAACGGGCAACATACCGAATACACAGGCCGGTGATTCAACCTCTCGGCCGGCGCTGAAGGTCAAGGCCGCACGTATGATACCCTCGTCAACTTTGCTTTACGCAGGGGCGGAGCCAGGATTTGAGTATAGAGGGGGCCAAAGAGACAACACCCGCGATAACGCTACATGTTTTTTTTCTAACAAGTATATATACACATTGTAATAGATACATGTTCCATAAGTATTGATTTAAATTTGCTACCTACAAGAAGTGTAGAAGTTAATAATCTCATTCGAGCTAAACCCGAACTTTCAGTGCATGGGTTAAAGATTGAAGCAGGTTGTGTAGAAAGATTTTTTTTTCTCTATTTCTTCTTTCCATTTTTTTCAATAGAAAGCATAGCTGACAAAAAATGATAAATTAAATGTGTGTTTCTCTTCTGATCAAAATTACTAAAGCATGAACAGATCAAACAAAATAGATTTATATATATACCTTGAGAAATTGATCTGTGGAAAGATCACTAGATCGTGATACATGTGTGAGAACTCCAGAATGGTAATCGTTAGCGGCCATCTGAGATCGTGATCCAGGCGTCTGTAATCCAGAATAGCAATCGGCGGAGGCCGTCGCTGAATGGCCAGGTTGAAACAAGTACTAGCAGTCCAGCAGTGAGGCGCCGCGGTTCTGATCTGAATCTGACCGGAAGAAATTTAGATCGAGAGCAGGCAGGGAGAGAAGAGGCGAGCGTGGGGAATGGCGGCCGCTAATCTTCGGCGGACTAATCACACGTATACGCTAATTACGGTTACGGGTAGAACGCAGCGCCCAGACGAGAGCCAATCGGCCGCTGCTGGTGCGTAATGGGCTTTCCACATGGCAAAAAAAACATGGGCCACACAATGAAAGATAGCCAGATAGGGGGGGCCGAATACATGCTTGGCAAACAAGGATGACGTCTCATGACAAATCCTAACACCTTGTGTGGTCGAGTTCTGAAAGGAAAATATTATCCCAATTCTGAATTTATGCAGGCTTCAGCACCGGGCTCCTCCTCGGCCACTTGGAGGGCGATCATCGCCGGAAGGGAAGCGCTGCGAACGGGGCTCATTATGCGGGTCGGCGACGGTTCTTCTATTTCCATGTGGTCTGACCCTTGGGTGCCCGGCATAGCCAACTTTATTCCAACTCCAAGGATAGCAGATTTGGTGTCGAAGGTCAGTGACCTTATCGATACATACAACTGGACTTGGCGGCGGGACCTTATTCAAGAATCATTCCAGCCACCTGATGCGGTAGCAATCTTGAACATTCCCCTCAGAACCGGCGGTGGCGAGGACTCTCTATCATGGGCACACGAAGTTTCAGGCAACTATACCGTTAAATCGGCGTATCGAACTCTAGTGACTCGCAATGAGCGTCAAGCTCAAGAGGAAGGGCAGGATACCGGAACTCCAATCGATGAGCAACAGGTATGGAATAAGCTGTGGAAACTGAAGGTGCTGCCCAAGGTAAGGGTCTTTTATTGGCGGGTGTTGAGAGGTATATTACCTGATGAATGCACTCTGCTATATCGACACTTACGAGAACAAGGAACATGCAAGCTCTGCATGGCTCATGATGAGGACTTGGAACATGCTCTACTCAGATGCAACCACGCAAAACAGTTTTGGGAAGAGGCTGAGCAGCTGTTTGATTTCGACATGCCCACAGTACATCCACTAAACTGGGCAAAGGATGTCATCTGCAGCGACACACTCACCACCAGGGACCGGTCGATACTCGTCTCGGTGATGTGGTCTATATGGCACTCAAGGAACAAGTTGACTCATGGCGAGGACAGGCTTGATCCGGCGAGCTCGGTTCGCCGCACAAGGAAGACACTAGCGCTCCTGGATATCCCCCGGCAGCAGGCGCTGATGTTGCCGGGACACGGTTGGCGGCCTCCAGAACCAGGATGCATCAAGATCAATACGGACGCAGCCATACACTTAGATGGCGGCAAGGGCGGTGTAGGAGGCGTCGCTCGGTCTTCGACTGCCTTCCAAGGAGCGTGGAGCAAGCCCTATCTAGGGGTCACAGACTCCCTCGTAGCCGAAACCTTGGCGGTGCGGGACGGTGTGATCTTCGCCAAACTGAGGGGCTGCTCAAACGTAATCATGGAGACGGACTCTCTGGAGGTTGTGAACCTCTGGGCTACTCGCCACGACTCACGTTCGGTCGTGGCTCCTATTCTGTTAGATATTGGAGAGCTTATCACTAGTTTTTCATTTTTTTGATATTTGTCATGTTGTAAGATCAGCTAATGGGCCGGCTCACATCTGTGCAAAACATGCTTGCACGATTGAGAGGACCGATAGTTGGCTCGATAACACTCCCGGTTTCCTAGTCAGTGCCCTGTTGGCGGACTGCCCAGTGAACACCTTTCATTAATAAAGCTCTCTATTAGCCTGCAAAAAAAAAGAATACATGTATA